AATATAAAGAAGAACCTATCAGCCTTGGCCAGTGTAGCTCAGTTGGCAGAGCATCATTCAGTTCATAAAAGGGTGGTGGGTTTGATTCCTGGTCAGGGTATATACCTAGCTTACAGGTGGAGTCCCTGGTTGGGGTGTGTATGAGGAACAACTGATCGATGTTTCTCTCACCTCTCTCTCAAATCAGTAAACATATCCTTGGGTGAGGATGAAGAAAAACAGCCTATCAGAACTGAAGAATACAATAACTGAACAAACAAATAAAAAATACACTAAAGGGAATCAATAACAGATCAGTTGATACAGAAGGAGTTAGCAAGCTAGAAAACAAAGAAGTGGAAATCACCCAATCAGGACAGCAAAAAGAGAAAAAGAATTTTTAAAAATGAGGATAGTTTAAGGGACCTCTGGGACAACATCTAGTGTACCAACATTTGAATCATAGAGGTCCCAGAAGGCAAAGGGAAAGAGAAAGGGTCAGAAAACCTATTTAGAGAAACAATGAATAGCCCTAGCCGGTTTTGCTCAGTGGATAGATCATTGGCCCGCTGACACAAGGGTCCCAGGTTTGATTCCAGCCAAGGGCACGTACCTTGGTTGCAGGTTCCCCAGCCCTGGTTTGGGTGCATGCAGGAGACAAACAATCTGTCACTTCTCTCTGTCTCTCCCTCTCCCTTTCACTCTCTAAAAATCAATGGAAAAATACCTTTGGGTGAAGATTAACAAAACAAAACAAACAAAATAATGACTGAACACTTTCCCAGTAAGATATCCAGGTGTAAGACGCTCAGAAAGTCTCACATAAAATGAGCCCAAAGAGGCCCACACCAAAACATGTCATCAGTAAAATGCCAAAAGTTAAGTCAACTAGGATTTTCTTTTCTTTTTTTTTAAGGATTTTCTTTTTAACTTCAAATTTGGAAACAAAAATAAATAAAATTAACAATATATCAAATGATTAACAACTGTATTAAAGAAAAATGGAAAAGAAAGAGCTCAAGTAATTTTTATCTATAGTACTTTCATTATCCTCAGTCTGAAAATAAAAGGACAAAAGAAGTGCAAAGAAAACTTAAGTTTGACTTCATAGGTTAGGTTTATTGTATTTTTAAAAATATATATATATATTTTTTAGAAATATATTTTATTGATTTTTTACAGAGAGGAAGGGAGAGAGATAGAGAGTTAGAAACATCGATGAGAGAGAAACATCGATCAGCTGCCTCCTGCACATCTCCTACTGGGGATGTGCCCGCAACCCTGGTACATGCCCTTGACCAGAATCGAACCTGGGACCCTTCAGTCTGCAGGCCAACGCTCCATCCACTGAGCCAAACCGGTTTCGGCTAAAATATATTTTTATTGATTTCAGAGAGGAAGGGAGAGGGAGAGAGAAAGAAACATCAATGATGAGAGAGAATCATTGATCAGCTGCCTCCTGCATGTCCCCTACTGGGGATTGAGCCCACACCCAGGCATGTGCCCTTGGCAGAAATCGAACCTGGGACCCTTCAGTCCGCAGGCTGACACTCTATCCACCGAGTCAAACCAGCTAGGGCAGTAGGTTTATTGTCAATAGTAATTTTGAAGGAAATTTATGTGCACTGTAGAATTGAGCAAAGGAATAAATATACTGAGCTTCTTGGGGAGCCAGGTTTCTCATGGTGAGAGAAAGGAGCTATAAATATAAAATGGTGAAAGGCAAGAAAGATACAAAATGGCTATTTTTCTCACTCTGTCCATTGACAGGACATAAGCAATGACACCTTCGTGGCAATGAGCACAGCTCGTTTCCGGATCTTGAGTTCTATTATCACTCCCCATTAACAGGGGTCCTCAGTAAAATGACTGCGTTCAGGCCTAGGGCTGGGAGAATAAGCCTAGACCATGTTGTGCCAGAAGTAAGAATGTGCTCAAAGAATGACAGGCACAGAAGCCAGCTTGAAGGAGCTCCCACTGGCCAAATCTAGGATAATCTGAACATCAAAATAAGTGATGATAGTAATGGATTATAGTCCATTGAATAAAATCAGAATCATTGATCCATTTTGACAGAAGTAAATAAATAAACAAGGGAGAAGGGAAGACCCAATGGTAAAGTGTTAATTAATAAATGCAGAAGGAATGATACCAGTATGGCTCAATTGGTTGGAGCGTCATCTGGTACACCAGAAGGTGGTGGTTCAATTACCAGTCAGGGGACATACTCAGGTTGTGGGTTTGATCTTCAGTCGGGTTATGTTTGGGATGTTTCTATCTCAAATCTCTCTCTCTCTCTCTCTCTCTCTCTCTCTCTCTCTCTCTCTCTCTCTCTCCTCCCCAACCCCCTTCATCTCGCTGAGATCTTCTTTAAAGAAAAACACACCACTATTTGACAATCATAATAATTTGATTCAGGTAGAAGCCATCAATGTACTATAAGGAACAGGATATTCACATAGCTTCAGATAATCTCCCCACAGGTTTGTCATTAATTACAAAGTAACTAAGTAAAGAAATTTGGAAGACATGTCCAGGACTTGGTTATCAAAGTTAACATCATCAATATGGGAACAAGTCACAATTGCCTGTCAACCGATAGGATCAATGAGAAGAAATAGCATCACTTCTGGGGTATTCCTGCTACCTATGCATAACCTGAATCTAATGAAGTATCAGATGAATACAAATTGAGGGACATTCTACAAAATAATTGGCTCTTTCTCTTCAAAGTGTCAAAATTGAGGAGAACAAAGAAAGGAGGATTAAGACTTATACACCAATATTCATTTATTAGTTTTGACAAATATATAATGTATGATGTAACTATTAAAGGAAGCCAGGTGAAGGATATACTGGGACTCTGTATCTTTGCATCTTTTCTGTAAATCTCGATACCAAAATAAAAAGATTAATTTTTTTTAAAGTAAAAAAAAAAAAGACTGATACAGATGAAGGAAGGCTGAAGAGACATGACCACTGAAATGCAGCAGCTGATCCTGGACCTGAAAAATCCTTACTACAGAAGACAAATAGGACAACGGGTAAAATCTGAATGAAGTCTGTGGGTTGGATAATAGTGTTTTATCAATGGTAACTTCCTGATTTTGAAACATTTGCATTGTGGTTATGTAGAGAATGTTCTCAATTTTAAGAAATACAGAAGTATTTAGAGGTTAAAAAAAAGAATCTGAGCATTTCTCTCTGCCTGTACAGTTACTATCCTGCTCCAAACCACCACCATCTTTCACCTGTATCATTTTAATAGTCTTCTAACTGGTCTCCCTGCCCATGCCTCTATTCAGTTTGTTTTCAATGCAAGAGCCATAATGATTGTTTAAAATGTAAGTTAGAGCATGTGACTTCTCTGCTTAAAATCCTCCAATGGCTACCTAACCTACTTAGAGAAAAGCCAAAGTCCTTAAAACATCTTCCAATGCCCTGCACAATCTGGCTTCTGGTTACCTTTCTGACTTCATCGGTTTCTACTCTTTTCCTTGCTCATTACACTCCAGCCACACTGGCCTCCTTGCTGTTCCTAACACACCAGGCACAGTGTACCCTCAGCCATCCCCTGTCCGGGTCATTCTTCCCCAGGTAGCCACATGGCTTACACCTTCACTTCAGATTTTTATGCAAATGTTTTCTTATTAGTGAGGCTTTCTCTGATGGTCCTATTTAAAATTTCAACCCCCTCCCACCTCTATCCCCTTTGTTTTATTGTTATTAACACTGATCACTAGCATCTGTATATTTTATTACTTATTTATTGTCCACCTCCCTCCTACCCAGAATGTAAATTCCAAGAGGGCACGATGTATGCCTTTTTTGTTCCCAATGTATCTTCACTGCCTAGAACAGTATTTGACATATAATTAGCTTTTCAGTAAGTGTTTCTTGAATAAATGAATAAAAAGTCCAGGTGTTAACTTCATGGTTTGATGTGGATCCTCAGCATGCGACTAGGACTTTGTCTTCACGTCTTAGCTTTGCTTTCCTCCGCATTGGCCTCATGCTCAGGCTTGAGGAGCGATGGGTGGTGGCCTGGTGGCCACCAGCAGCTCCAGATTTACCTGCTAACCAGCCAGCAACCCCATTGGAAAGAGAGTGCCTCTGTCTTGATGGCTCCAGTGAAAGCCTTAGAAATGAGTCATATTCTGGGTGTGGGTCAAGTGTCAATTCCTAAAACAATCTCTGAAGGTAGAGGAAGAAAATCCCGTGACTGGCCAGGCCTGAGTCATGGGGGCCCCTGGGGTCAGGGTGAAGTTCCGTTCTAATGCACTGAGCACGGGGAAGAGGTGGTTCCCTGAAAGGAAATGGAGCGCTCTCGCTGGAGGAAGAGGGACGGAGGCCCGGCTGGCAGGAAAAACAGAGGTCCATCCCGTCACCGGGAATGACCCACCGTCAGTCTTAGCCCAGAACAGCGTTCCTCTCTTGCCCCTCCAGCTTCACATCCAGCCATATCGACCTCTGCACTGTGCTGCGGTTCTCTCCGAAATGCCTTTCCACCTGTTTCTGTCGGTCAGCGTCTTCCTCATTATCCAGCGTCAGGTTCGGATATGATCTCCCTTATGAAGACTCCTGACAGATGTACTCTCTCCCCCTAGTTATTTCTACTTCTCTTGTAGTTACCTTTTCATACTTTGCCCTGTATTTTACTGATTTGTATACCTTATGAGCTCCTGGGGGGGGGGGGGAGTGTCCATTTCCAACGGTCCCAGCCGACACCCCACACGCTCCGCAACTGCAGTGATTAGATGCGCACCGGGGCCGCCAGGGCGCGCTGGGTGCCAGGCGCGAGGCCGCCGGGGGGCGGGAGGCGCGGTGATTGGCAGGAGCGGCCGTCAATCAGGCGCAGGCGGGAGCGGGGCGGGAGGCGGGGCCTGCATGAATGGGGCGCGCGGCGAGCGGGCTCCAGTCGGCGCTCGCGGGGGGAAGCCAGAGTCCCGGCAGGGAGTGGGTGGGAGGAAGCGAAGGGGGGGCGGGTGGGGGAGGAAGGGAAAGAGCGCGGGGGGCGGGGAGGGGCAGCGCCGGGTTGGTGCGCCGAGAGAGGCGAGGCGCGGTGTGAGCGAGAGTCGTGGCCCCCGTGCCGGTAGCTTCTGAGCCGCTGTCCGCTGCGCGGCCTCCGCCCTCGCTGCGGGCGGCCGCCTGCGAAACCCCGAGAAGCCCCCGGCGTCCCCGACCGGGCCGAGGAGTGAGGACGGGGAGTCGGCGCTGAGAGAAGAGCCGGACCGAGCGGCCGAGCCCAAGGCCCCCGGGAGTGGAGGTGGGGGGCTGAGGCCCCCAAGGGGGCCCCGCCGCGATGGGCAACCTGGAGAGCGCCGATGGGGGTCCGGGCGAACCGCCCTCGGTCTCGCTGCTGCCGCCGCCCGGCAAGATGCCGATGCCTGAGCCCTGTGAGCTGGAAGAGAGGTTCGCCCTGGTGCTGGTGAGAGCGGAGCCCCGTCCCTTCCCCCTCCTACCGCCCCCCAGGTCGCAGCGCCGGGGTGGGATTTGGCCGCGGTTCCCCCGCTGGCCCACCCTTTCAGCCAGGGCTTCCGACAGACCCCGTCCCCCAGCGCCTTCCTGGAAGCCTCTGAGCAGCGCCGGCCGGCTGGCCCGTCAGCCCTCGGGGACCGAGGTCTCAGCCACTGGACACTTAGGAGGGGAGTCCCCAGCCCGGGACCATCCCAGGATCCGGACTTCCTCCTCCTGCCCCCCACCCGCCTCCGGCTGCCCTCCCCACTTCCCCGACGTGGTCCCCAGGCCCCTGAATTCTCATTCCTTCGCCTCTGGCTGGTGCGGGGAAAGTCAGAAGCTCGGGCCGGGCCACTCTTCAGCCTCAGTCAGGGCTCTCCGCTTGGGGAGATTGCCTCTCGTGTTAATATGGAGGCTTTCCAGGGAGTGGGTCCCACTCCCAGCCCGGACCAGATGTTTGGGGGAGGTTACGGGGAACGGGGAGGGGACTGGCAGATCTTGAAGGAGGTGGAATAAAGAGTGATGCCATTCTACTCATTTTCAGAACGGCCTGCAGGCATCCTGCAAAGTTAGAGCGGATTTGCCTAAAAGCGCTGAACATGTGGATAAGCCATTTCACTAGTGTATTTTTCCAATTGAAACAATACACAAACCTTCCTGCCTCCCCTCCACCTCCCCCTTGCTTTTTATGTTAAGCCCTAGTAGGCTGATTTGTGTTCTTTGCCTGTTCCTTTTTAGTCTTTCTGTAAGGTTCTCAGATGATCTGTACAGATGAGTTTTTAGAGCTGACTTTGGGGTTCTCCTTTGGTATGGGAGTTGGACATTGATTCCGGTGGCTCGGTGGATAGAGAGGATTGGAGCTGGTATCACTGGGATGGAGCCAGAAATATGATGGAGCTAAAAATGAAGTTTTGGAGAAAGAAAGTGAACTAGGTGATGGAATATTTACTAACAGAGGTAAAATAAAGGACCCGGGGAAATAGTTCCCAGTTCCTCAAAGAACTCTCTAAGAGGCAGTGTTAATGCTGCTGTTACTGTTGGTATGACCTGAAGGGCTGACTTTGCCTTTGCCTATGAGAAGGGATAAGTTGTGGACTTAGCAGCCTTATTGGGTTTCATCTGCCTTGGAATGGTGAGATTAGATCTGTTGGCATCAGTGGAGCAGTCTGGAGATCCTGGTCTCTCTGATGGTGCAGAGCCTGACATCAGCCCACTGGCACCACAGCCAGATCAGAGAGCATCCATGGGGTGCCGAGGGGAAGCAGTGTTACTGGCACCTCTCTGCCCACAGCTTTGCAGAGGGCCAAAGGGACCTGGGCCATACATCCTGCGGCCCTCTGCATTTCCCCATGCCTCCTAAGGGGGTTGGGGTGAGTCAGTGATTACTAATGTGCTGTGGCCATCTCTGGGACTTGGTGCCCTTGAGAACAAGAGCTCAACTGTTGGGAAAAACAGTGGGAGGGAATCTACACGCCAGTGGGGGTGTGAAAACCCCCAGTGAGCTGACATGATGTAGCCTCTGAAATAGTAGAGAAAGAAAGAGAAAGAGGTGGACTGGGTAGGGGGCTGCCTTAGGTAGGGGCTGCCAGGCCGTTTGTTGTGAGAGCTCAGAACCAGAATCAATCATGTCCTCATTGGAGCTTGGTTGATAAATTTGTTTAGTTGGCAAGTTGATGGCTTAATATCCACAAAATGCATGTGATTACTAGCCAGAGCACCCAGAAAACCCAGGTTAATCAGGGAACTGGACCACCCACTTGCAAGCCTTCCTTGCGGTATAAAGTTTTGATTTGTTTCCTTGTGGCTTTTGTTTTGGTCTTGTTTCTGTGTGCCTGAGCTGCTGCTGATGGGGGTTGGAACAGGGCAGGCCAGGGCTAGTTAGCTGTCTTAAGAGAGAAGGGGGTTTTACATCACTTTTCCAACACAGGGAAATCGTGCTTTCTTGTGGACTTGAGTTCTCTAGGGGCTCTTAAATATCTTTTCCTCTGCTACTGAAACATGCCCTATATAACTATCCTTCAGGAACAATACTAGCTGTTGGCTCTTTGACCCTGGAATAGTTTCAGGTGTGTATTTCTTGAAGTCAGGAGAAACAGAGTGTAGTAGAAAAAAACAGGGCTCATCTTAGCAATTGTCTTAACCAGTCTGAGCCGCACCTATACATTTTATAGATTTACTTATCTGTAATTTGGAGCTAATAATACCCATACTATGGTATTGTGGAAAAAAAGATGAGCCGTATGTAAGGAGCTTGACACCTAGTAGATACTCAATATAGATTAGCTACTTTTTAAAAAACAAAACATTTTTAATATGTTTTTTAAAAATTGATTTTAGAGAGAGAGGAAGGGGGAAAGAGAGAGAGAGAGAGAGAGAGAGAGAGAGAGAGAGAGAGAGGGAGAGAAACATTGCTACATCCTGCCTGCCCTCTGCTGGGGATCAAGCCCGCAACTCTGGCATGTGCCCTGACTGGGAATCCAACTGACGGCCTCTAGGTGCATGGAATGATGCTCACCCAACTGAGCCACACCAGCCAGGGCAGCTGCTTTTCTTGCTTATGTCAGACAATCAAGACAAGAGTCAGACAAGCTGCTCCTTTTTCATCCTTTTCCCCCCAAGGTTGTCAGTTTTACTATAATTGATTTGCTTTCAGAAAAAGCCAAATAGTATTTGGGGGATTTGTTGAGGTGACATGCTGGTGTCGTGATGAAGCATCTGGATTTTCAAGTCAAAGTGGGCTCAAATACTGGCTCTCTAGTCTATAGTTAGAAAAGTGTTTGACCTCAAGCAGGTTATTTAACCTCTTTGAGTCCCAGTTTCCTCTTATAAATAGGGATAATAATAGTATTTGCCACATGAGATTGTTATGTGGATTTAATGAAACTGGAAGTCAAGTACTTAGCAAAGTCTGCATCTACTATATGCTCACTAAGTAGTAATTTTAAATATGTAGTTCTTAGCAATGACTTAGATCTGAGACCACTTGTATTCCCAAATTGGGATTTTAAGTTTAGAAATCTGATGAAGCCAGTCTCAGGATATGTCTGCTCTGTTAGATGGAGGGCTTCCCCAGTCCCAGTGTATCTATGGAAACCCCCCTGAAAAGCACCCTGGTTGAGGAAGTTGCATCATTGCTGAGTCAAGACCACAGGCTCCCAGCTTTCTGATACAGACACATGATCTGAGCCATAGCCTGCAGCTGAGGTTGGAGAGCTCGAAGTCTGAGGTCATGAGGTGATTTGTTCAGGACATTGATCCCAGGAGTCCTAACCCAGCCCAGGACTTCCCTACTGACCCCCTTCATCCCTGGGTGTAGCTGAGGCCCCTTATTGGTTCCATCTGGCTTCCACCATACCCTGTGTACTGTACAAATAGTATTGTTTTCTAGGTGCCTTGATATGAAAAAGGTTGCAAGGCTGCTGTTATGCTGTTTCTTTTGGATTCTTTCTTACCACCACCACCCCCACCCCCCCGAAGTCTGAGCAGCAGCTTCCATTCTGTTAAGTATTGAGAAGTCTAAGGATGGGTAGTTATTGGGGCTCCTCTTTATTAACACCGGGATGAGAGCTGATCTCTGGTCTGATAAAGCACCAGTCTGTGTTTTGGTACCGACTAGATTCTAGTCCACCCTTTACTACTCAGAAGCTAGCATTCTGGCCAGTACCAGCATTTCCTTAGAAAGGGGAGGTAGAGGACTGTAAGGGCATTGAAAGGATAACAGTTTTTCTCTTTGCTGACTTACTTAGGCTTGAAACAGAGTCTAAAGATTCTGACACCAGAAAAAGCCCTGAATATCCCTCAGGAGGAGGTTCTCGGCATCAGGGTGGGGTCGTGTGACAGGCTGTTCCTGCCGCGGCTCCTCCTCTCACATTTCCTTGGTGACTTGGGGTTTTGCTGTAAGTGTGGCATTGATGTGGATGCTAAGCTGGTCTGGGTGCTAGTTGTCTAAGAGGCCTTGACGGACCTTCATTGAAACAGAAAGGGACTAGGGAAAAGTTGGGACTAAATATCAAGTTCCAAATTGCCATGGTGGAAATTTTTCCTCCAGCCCTGGAGATTTTGGTGAATTAGTTCAGGCTGGAATAGAACTCGGGGGAGGGAAAGTGCCCTTGACAGCAGCAGCAGGGGAGAGACATCAGTGAGAAGACCCTAGGCCACATAGAGGAGCTTGACCTTCCCATGTGACCCTGCCTTAGACTAGGGGAGGAGTGTGTATGTATGTGTGAGGATGGTTTGGTGGAATGGATTCCCTGTCATTTGGAAATGTTTCCATTGTTCAGAAGGAGATTCAGATTAGATTTGTTTCCTATTTCTCTTAAAGTAATATTCTCTAAAAAAAAGTATGGGCAATTAGAAGAAAAGATTGAAGAAAATCATCCATATTTTTTTTTTAGTTCCTTTGCCAAATGCAGCCAAATGTTTTATTTTTTTTCTCTGCGTAAGGTTTTATATAATCTCCAGTTTGGGGTGTTTTTGTTGTTATTTTATTAGTTTTCCCAGGCTAATCATTGTAAACATTTTAAAATGCTTGTACAGTGGTCCATCAAATGAATGGACCATTGTTTACTTAAGTTTCACCCTATTGTTGGACATTTAGGTTATTTGCCATCATAAACAAGTTGTGATGAACATCTTGGTGTACAGAGACTTTTCATTATTTAGAGTTTTCCTTAGGATAGAAACCCGAAATTGGACATGCCAGGTTGTAGGATATGTTTTTAAGTACCTAAATACATATTTCTAAATGGTTTTCTAAAAAGAGAATAATGTATAAGAGTATCCTCAAAGAGAGGGAGGAGGATTCTTCTGATTATGAAAATAATACACATTTATTAAGCAAATTTGGAAGTTCAAAATATAAAAAAGTACAAAGTATATCGAAGAGTATAAAGAAGAGAATTAAGCCCTAGCTGGTTTTGCTCAGTGGATAGAGCATCAGGCTGCGGACTGAAGGGTTCTGGGTTCGATTCG